CAAAATACTTCTAGAATTAGCTTATGTAAATATTTACGTTAGCTTGTTTAATTAAGGTCTGACGTTATGAAAACAAAGTGCCATTAATTTCTGAACCGTATAATACAGTATCATCTGTTTGGTCTCGGTATGTTCCAGTTTAATTTGTATTATACAAAAATGATATGTATAATTTGTATTATACCACTTTGAAACCTGTTATAATAGAAAATTATATGCGTATAATACTGTTTAATCTGATCCTGACTTAAATTATATCAGGTTAAACTGGAATATATTTTGATTTAATCGGGTATCATTCTCTAATGATATTTGAGTCCGGATCAGATGTTATAATATTGAATGATACTTTCTGTGATATTGGATTAAACAACAAATTAAACATCAATATAAGATGTTATCACAAGTATTAATCATAGGATTTTACATAGTGAAATATACTGAGTTTTTGGTTTCATGATCCCTACCGTATCACACATTTCCAGTAACCTTCCATTTAGCGATTGAAGATATCGTTGAATTGTAGCGCCCATGCACTATACTCGTATATGAACAAATGATCATACTCCAGAGTTTCCATTTCATATATAAGCCTAGTCTCATTTAGTTCATCAAAGCATAACGCCAACTATAAAGAAGTTTAATTCGATGGAAACTAAAAATATCGAGATCGACACTTCCTGTCCGCCATCTTAAATGCAAAAGTGACTGCAGTAACTTTCACTGGTCATTTTGACAACATGTATACGAGGGATACTTCCACACCAAAACTTATGCGATTTGAAGTAATAAAAATGAATTCCTTATATTACTTCTCACAAATTATAATGAATCGTCAACGTACAGATGATGCGTCACCGTACAAATTTGATATTTTTTAAATATACATAATGAATGGTTGTTTATTGAATCTTCGCCCATTCTAAAATGTGTAGTCAACAAATACATATTCTCATAAAAATAATTCATAATCTCAGACGGCAGGGAAAATAATGACCAAACAAAATGTGAAAAACAACCTCTTTTTCACTCTGGTCGATTATGTGGGCCGATTAACTCAGAAAAAATCCGAACAGTGCTCGTAAAATATTTATCATAATTAGAAAGTTAAAACCATTCCTAAGAGAATGCTGTATTTATTTCACATGAAATCGTATTAGTCAATTTTTTTTTAAACCCTTGTCATAGTTTTTGCTTCAAAGCAGTTAATTTGCGTCACCGTACAGAAAACTGTACTCCGCTATTTTTTGACGCTGTACGGTGACGCCTACCTACGCGATGGTTTGGCGATATTATGTTATACTAATTGTCCCCAGTTTCGTGCGACGTGTACCTAGATCTTTCTAAAAGAAACAAGTGGTAAAATTATTTGCTAGCCCGAACAGGGACTCGAACCCTGGACCCTCAGATTAAAAGTCTGATGCTCTACCGACTGAGCTATCCGGGCGCTCATGATGACATGAAGCATGAACATGTACTTAAGATAGTTGACACCCATAATTTCCGATAGATCTCACTGAGCCAAATAGCTAAATTCATATCTTGGACAAATTCACAGCCTTCTAGAAATGAAAAGGAATCGATAAAAGGCTATTTATACATATCACGATGCACAATAATAGTATAATAGGGTAACCAAAATATAAACAAATTACTTGGCAATTCTCTCGAATTGAGGTCAACATTGACAGCTCGAACAGTGATTCGGACCCTGGATCCTCAGATTTAAAGTATAATGCTCTATCGACAAAAAAGGTACCATTTGCATTCGTTTGACTTCACTTCTTAAAAAAAGGTATAAAATAATTTATTTATTGCCAAACAAAATCACACCGTAAGGCATCTCGCCTGTACTTCATGCACGACTAAAACGGGATTGTTTCATAATTTCTAGGAAGGTAAATACAACGACTTGGACATCATACGGAGTGAGGTCGATCCATTTGAGATCCCCAAAGATGAATGGAAAATTCTTGATTCCATCATGGGGAAAACAAGATTGGTAAGGTGAAATGTATGCGTTTGTGTCAAGTACCATACCCAATAATTTTGAATTGTGATTTTCATAACATGATCGTCACCCTGTGATCCAGTTAGATGTGGTCCAGTTAGATGACCTTTCTTGGTGTAGTGTCACCTTCTTCGAATTCGTATCTTGCATTAATTGCCATGTCTTCGATAAGTTGTGTCGTCTACCATCCTCGTTTTGATCAAATGGTTTTGAAGATATTTTATCTTAGATTGAATTTGATTTATCTGTCATCTTAAGCACCCTCTAATTCTTTCTGTAAATACTCACACAAATGGTCCCCGGATGTAGCTAGTCCACAATCCTAATCTACTTTTCTTTTCTTGCCCGTCAACTATGCGTGTGTATTGTAGTCATAAGCAGGGTATCTCATCGTGGTAAGCCACGCCCTCTCCATCTCTATCCTTCTGGAGAGATCTGCGATGCAACAGAGAGAGATGCTATGAGTATCAGAATGAGATTATCTTAATAAATCACAAAATGAATGCACAAATGGCCCATCCGCAACACATCCCAATTCTACGTATAAATTAACACGGAACTAAATTATCTTATTCAGAAACCATCTTAACTGGGGTTTTAAGTGGATCAACTTCATGTTGTATAGTAACACTCTAATTTTATACACCACTTGGTTAACAGCAGGCAAAAGCATAAAAATGAATGTCAAATACCCCATAAATATAGTTATTTTGAAAATAATTTCTTTTAACAAGAATAAGATTACAATAGTTATCGAGCTAAGCTACACACTGGCATCCAACATATGCAGCAATCCATCATGAGAAATCATGGTCTTCTATTAGTTTCACCATGGGCTTAAAGACAGAAAGATGTGATGAGTATCAGAATGAAAGCAATCACAGTCTGCATGTTTAAAATACGTGTAGGAAAACGTGTTACATAAGACATGAGCGTAGTCAGGCATGAGTTACCTCACCAAGTTGTTCAAGAAAATTCAATTAAATCTAATTTATGAATGTGATAGTGTTATTTCACATTTATCCTAAATTTGCCTCGCCAAATATAAAATTTGCCTCGCCATTTCTGGTTACGCCCCTTTAAGTGTAATTGTAACTAAAGCTATATGATCCAGACAGTCCCTGCTGTTATAGTTACAGTACCTACGGACACGTGGTGGGTTCAGAATGTTTTCTCCATATCACTTTTCAGGTAGAGAAGCAGATCTGCTCAGAAGTAATGATTATCTTTGTGCCGATGTGTTGTACAAGAAAGTAGTTCTATTTTAAATCACATTTACAGCTAGCTAAACACTAAACGCAAAAAGATATGTTTGATTACATCACGGTGTTTTCCGAAGAGGACGAAGCATTTTCTTTGATTGTAGTCTTCCCTTTAACATACCAAAATGATCTTTCTATCGTTCATTTCCATGGCAGTTGATCTTTACTTCTATTTACAGTCGCCCGACAAGGGATACTGGATGACCAAAGACCAAGCCTGGGTAGGTGATCTTTTTAGTATCCAACTTTAACGATACATTATAATCTTTGTATATACTTTGTATTCTCTATATGTATACGTTGTAAATATATAACATATCACTTAAAATTATCTTTAATCTGATTGGTCAAAAGACGACTATTAGGTATATAATTGTGTTTTCTTGAATTTGATTGGCTCATAGACTGCTAGGGCATATCATGCCGGGCCAGTCAGATCTACAGAATCTATGCGTTTAGGATCTCAACAATTGATATTTATCATTAGTTTTATATCGCATTTTGCTGAACATGTCTCTTACATGCTGCTCTTTGTAAATAGTGTTAACTTTACTCTTAATCATTGAATAAACGTAGGACAGCACCTAGCATATATCAAATGGAAATAGTACCATTAGATAGAAGAAAAGAGCTCTAAAAATTTTATTTGAAGCTTCTAGCACAATTTTGAAGAAAGTTGCATCAATTTTTGTAAAATTCAAAACAATTCTTAAAATAATGTTTTGTCTTGCTTATCCCACTGACTAAAAACCTAAAACAAATTTGGCAATCGCACCCCCTGACTGAAAACTGGCCACGCCCTTAAAGCAGGATACTTACAAGTGAGCAGTACCCTAAGCGCAGACGTTAGTTCTGAAGTAACGAAGACGAAGCTATCTTTTATGAAGAAGTCAAAAGAATGCGAAGGGTAACGAACAGTGAACTGCTGAACGGACACTTACTTTAATACGTACAATTATAGAAGCTGCAATTGATAAATCTGAAATTAAGTACATGTATCTAGTGTAACCTAAAATAGCATTCTTAAATAGAAATGGAAAGGTTAGAAAAACAACAAAACAAGTCATGCTAACTTGCTTAGCCTATCTGCTGCAGAATATAAGATAAATATATTCCCCCTGATTAATACGCAAAGTGTCTGTTCCTAAATTTTGGCATACTGGTCAGTTATTTTCAGCGTCCACTGATAAGACAAATTTTCTATAACTGGATGGATGGTTGCATAGATTCCCAAAACATACACTTCACGATTTATCTATTATGTTATGTTTATGAAGAGGCAACATATGCCTTTGTCAATCTTTGCAAATTCTTCTACTGTAACGTTGTGTTTCTAGTTTTTTGTGCAACGCCGTTAGCGTTTACACCTTTTTTATTCGAATACTGCTGAGAGGAAAAATATATTATTGTAAACGTTGAAGTAAATGAGTTTACATTTCATAACCTTGCTCAGCCATTTCACTGGGTGCCAGTTGGAGATGAAACAGACGTAATTGACCTTTTCACTTGCAATGTTCAGCGGAACTTCCTCCTTTAACTCTTATATTCAAGTTTTTCACGAATAAGTAATTAGTTTACTTGTTATCATCGAATCGTGGCATCCTAAGTATACCGGCTTCCAATCTTTTCTTATTGATTTTAATGAAGAAAACATAGTCCGAGGTTAAGTCTTTTTTAGTTAAAAATATCGGTTGACTAAATTATCCATTTTGGGATTATGGTTTTCAGTCTGAGAAGGCCAAGGAAGAGAAGAAGGATGCAACAAACAAAGATGACGACAAACAGAAGAAAAAATCTCGTTTTCTTCGAGAAGATTTCGGCGAGAAGGATCCGTCGAGAAGGGTTGATGCTGCCAGAGACGTTGATAAAGATAAGCCTATTGACAATGCAAAGTATGAGGAACTCAAACGCAAAGAAGAAGAAAAACAAAAACAAGAAGAAGAAAAAGAGGAATTGATAAAAGCGGCCCGAGAAAAAAGGAAAGAACGTGAACTAAAGGAGGATGCAAAGGTTGTTGAAGAAAATTTAAAAAATAAAGAGAAAACACAAAATGAGGAAATTGTAACTGAGAAAATATCCGTTGTTGAATCAGCCCCAGTGGAATCTGCACCAAAAACAGAGTCATTTTCTGAAATAGAAAAAGAAGCAAGCAAAATAGTTGATGATATTCAACAAGATAAATCAGTTGAAGAAACAACTTCTAAGGACATAAGTAGTAATGATGATGTAAAACAAGAACAAAAAGTAGAGACTGAATCTAAAGTAGAAGCAAAAGAAGACGTTGAATCCGAAGCACCATTGCAAGATATTAAGTCGGAGGAGGATACAGCAGCAAAGCCTTCAGATAAGCCATCTAGTGATAAGGCAGTCGAAGAAACATCAGTGGAATCAACTCCCATACCAGCAGACGAAGCTACTGTTTCAAAAGATGTACCGAAAGAGGAAGAAACAAAAGAGAAAACACCAGTTGAAGAAGCACCTACAGAAGCTGATAAACAAGATGAAAGGGCTCCTTCTGAAGAAGTTAAAGCAGAGGATAAAGCAGATAAGAAACCAGAGGACGTACCAGCGGTGAAAGAGGAAGTTCAAATCGAGGAAGTAACTGCAGTAGAATCAGCACCTTCGGAATCACAACCAATCGAGGATAAAGCAGATGTTGATGAAGGAAAAGAAGAGGCCGTATCAGCGGTAAAAGAGGAAGTTCAGAGTGAGGAAATAACTGCAGTTGAATCAGCACCATCAGAATCTCAACCAGTTGTGGAAGAAGCAGTCGAACCAAGTGACGTTGAACCAATAGAGTCCACACCCAAGGATGCCAAAGATGAAAAGGTTATCCATTTACCTCAAACTGACGAGGCTGAGGAAAAGGAAGCAAAGGGACCGTTGACGGAAGAACAGAAAACCGAAAAGGCTTTAGACGATTCCATTGAGAAGATGTTGAGTGATGCTGGTCTTGAAGATGCTGGTAGATCTGTAGTTGCCATAGCTACGAGTGTGGAAGAACATGATAAAGATGTTGTCGAGAAACAAGAGGAAGAAAAATCAGAAAAGGTAAGTACAAGTTTGATAATTCTAAAAATTATTTCCAAAGCATTCGCAAATAGAAATTGATAAAGACTACGGGTTGAAATCAATCGATGTAAAACATATAACAACTGAAAACAAAATGTTTCAATGTTTTCCCCATTGTCATCGATTTCACAATGTATAAATCTTATTTTGGACATATGAGAACAATGTGAGAAAATTGCAAATATTATTTTGCAATAAAAATTAAAAAAAGAAATATGAAGGAAAAACAATGTAAAACACTACTACTATTATAGGAATATAGGTGACAGATTGTTTTATGTGCTCGTGAATAAAGTTATTGTTTTCAAGGATTCGAAAGTCACCCCACCTACTACTCCTCCAGCATTTATGGTAAGTAAGACATTTTGACTTGATCAATTTTCATTTATTTTATAACAGTGATTTCGAATTAGACGTACATATAGGTCCCTGTATTTCCCTATTTCCTATGTTATGCTACATGTAGTACTAAATGTAAATTTTGCATGCAACTAATGCCATTTTCTATAAAACGTTGTCATATTTTTTTCCTTGTATGATGCATGCATTGTTTAAGTTATTTTATTTTTTGTTTAATCATTGATTTCTCCAGCTACATGTAATCGATTCTCATATTGCTTTACTTATTTTTATAACAGCAGAAACGACTAACGTTTCGAAAACAACAGAGTGCATGGGTAGGTTATGTAACGTATGAATAATTTCTATTGTAATACATTGATAATTCTTATTCTTAATTAGTGTGGTCTTCGGGACTCGTATAGATGGCACGCCATATCTGAAAATGCTGCTTCAACAGAAGTAAAACTGCAATTCAAAACCATTGCAATAACCCTGAGGAAAATAATATGCTTAAAACTACTATAATTTGGTTTATTGTTTTACATTATGTAAACTATTTTTACAATTGGGTTTATTATTAAAACATATTTCCTTATATAGCAATGTATGTAGAATACATCGTTTAATTTCAAAGTTCAGTTCTGCCATCTATCGACCGTCACGAAGACAATTGTTAACATTAAAGCATGGATTCATAAGTAACAGAACTGTAAAGGTAACAACATGCTATAACACATATAAGGTAACTTATGTAAATAAGTAATGATTTAAATGCTTATATTAAACATGAAATATCGTAATGATTTCTACATATTACTGACTGTCAATTTACCTACGTATATACTTTTACCTTTTGAAATAAAAACACGTATGGTTCAATCTGCACATGTGATTCGACGTGATTCCACTGCCACACGCGTAATGTAATAATAAGCTTTTATTCCACATGATAAAACCACAACTCGCAAATTAAACAACATGGATTGACCAACATGTGCGTCTACTAATGCTTGCTTCGTATTCATTACTACCATACAGGATGAAGACAATACACCAAAAGACAAAGATGCCGTTTGGGTAAAATCACTTACTTTATTCCGTGCTACTATTACTTACTGATTTGCATGTACTTCTCTTTCTTTCTTTCTTTCTTTCTTTCTTTCTTTCTTTCTTTCTTTCTCGTATATCTTTCTCTTCCTATTTTTCTTGAACTTCTTTTTCGAATTCCTTTCCTTTTAGTAGACTCAAAATTAACTTCTTGAGAATAGTAGTATCATATAATTTAAGCTGATATTAATGCGCAGTCTATTTGTACTTTGTAATATAGCCTTGAGAGACATCTTTAAATACATAATATTATCATATATTAAGAAGAATTACCAATTTGAAAATCAATTGTAAAGGATCGTATGATAAGAGATAAACCATAGTGACTGATCTCCAAGCGAAAACTCCAAATGCAAAACGTAAGATGTCGCCTCAAGGCTATACTTTGCACATTTTGTCTGAACATACTTGGCAGTCTCTTACTCAATATTGATTGAAAATTCTTCCAGATATCATGATAAACGCCAACTTTTTTCACAATCAGCTGCATAGATATTAGACCAATCTTTGATCTGATAATTGCACTGGCAAGTATGTTCCTCTCAGAGGGTGTTCATGAAAATAGGAGAAAAGCGAATTCTTCTGAATCTGTTTTTATGGACTCACCTTCTCTGAGTTGACACCACTTAACATACACGTTTCTGCTGTTTGCATGTCATTTCAATAGGATGTTTCTGTGAAAATGGGAGGCGAGGAGCTACCAGGCTTCAATGTTACAATTAGCAATGAATTGGCGCCTCTGGTCAAGGTAACAATCTCGCTCGCGGTGTGTTTCTGCAGACATTGCTCTCAATCCAGTCTCCTTCAAGACCCTCTGGACCCCCTCCCTTATCTACTTTAACTAAAGGATGTGTTGATTCGGTGAAGAATAGGGGGGGGGGGGTCCATTGTCTTGAAGCAAGACTACTCTCTATCTATTATCATCACATGTCTTTGATTCACTTGTAATTAAAACTAACACAGAAATCTTAAATTTGATTTCATCCAATGGCGTTCAGATTCATGACACAATTGCATTTCAATGGGTTGTTTTATTTGATAGTTTCAATTCTTAAGACTTCACGTTCACCCGCTGATACTAATATGTTCAGCTCGGTTTATTGCGCATTTTGACATATAAAACATTACACCGATATATGTGTAGGCCATTAGTATATTTTATTCGACTATACTGTATATATTATATTTTAGAAATCAGATTCAGAGGATAAACCAAGTGAACCAGAAGACGCCGTAGATGCCAAAATACCAGAAACTAAGGTTGCCGGAGACACACCTGAGGTGAGGAGATTATATCGCATAGTATGGTTATATACGGAGCACGTCTTAGAACTTCAGGTTTTATCACCAGTTAGCTAGGGAAATGGGCACCAACAAATAGAATGCATGTAAAATTCTAATCCTTCAGGTAAAACCCGAGGCACCAATTGATGAAGGAGATGAAGCTGAGAAGAAAGACGATGAGCAAAAACCTGTAGACGACTCTAAGCTCAAAGAGGATGCCACAGGGAAATCTACCGTAATTATGCTTGTTTGTGTTTTATATAAAGTGACACTAAAACAACCGAGGATATCCTCGCAGTTGCATCACAATTCATGCTTACATTTATTGAAAACTTAGGGTAAAAGAATATCTGTGCTCCAGGTGAGGCTCGAACTCACAACCTCCGCATTTCCTAGCACTATGTAGCACTGGAGGCCTGCTCACTGTCTATAAGTACGGCGCGCTAACCGATTGCGCCACTGGAGCTTGAATGGGGTGTTTGATTGATCATGTGCTAATTGGATCGGATTGTGTGAAGTTTTGCATAGCGCGATGGCGATCAATATTTCAATCTTCTATTTACATTAACGAAATATTAAATGAAAGATGCAATATGGTGCAGAACAATAAGTAATAACCATCCATACGACTTAGCACTTAAATAACGTTAAGTCATATTAGGGGGTTTCAGATTAGCGTAAGATTATACATATACCTATCCCTATCCGTATGTTTGCTACGGATACGGGAGGGGGGGGGGTGTTGCTAATGGGGCAATGAACTGAGACGAAGTGTTAAATATCTAGCATGATCAAGCAATAGAGTTACAAGATAGTAAAACAGTCTAAGACACGAGAAAAGGACTAAATGCACTTAATTACATGGCATCGTTGATCGCATCAATGGTTGTGTTCGACCACTTAATTTCTTTAAAGATCGAATAGGAAATGTTTGTTGCAACTATTGTACAGTTAATGAATGCTGTTTGATCCACAAATGACATACTTTGTTTTACGTTTTCGAATTACCTATCTTGAGTCACTTAAAGATAATTACGTATCGCAAACCTTAAAACGTAGTTGAAAAACCGCTTAGTGCAATAACAAACCACGTATAGGTATGCGTAATGGGTTGTTTACGCTAATTTTAAACTCCCTATTATCATTGACAAACCTACATTTCTTCAATTGGCACTCTTGGCAAATATGATTTTTTGTAGCAAAAAGTTCGTTGCTCCAGATGAGGCTCGAACTCACAACCTCCGCATTTCCTAGCACTGTTTAGCACGGGAGGCCTGCTCACTGTCTATAAGTACGGCGCGCTAACCGATTGCGCCACTGGAGCTACGGTTATATTAATTATCATTATGACTGGTTTGAAAAGATTGGTGTTGACCTTTGATACTCTAATGAACTTTTGAGACAGGATATTGTCAGGCCCATTAGTCGAACCTGAGTAACACATTGTGTGAATCCTCATATTCAACAGTTTTTGATTTCCAGAGTTTTGGTCATAATTTATTCTTCAACGTGGGTTGTAATGGTCTTCAGTGCGTTTGAAATCTTGGATTGTAATAATGCTGGTTCCTGAACTATATGATAGTTGGGAGCGAGTATCATACAGTAGGGAGGTTAAGATTAGCGTAAAAATATACGTGTACCTATATCCCTATCCGTATGTTTGTCACGGATGCGTATAGGTAATGCGTATTGCAAAATGAGTTTAAGATTAACGAAAAAGGCTACGAAACCGTATGCTACAATTTATGATAAAAATGACATCTGTAGAACGAAAACCATGCGATGGCTTATATGGCATATACCAGTACATGTCACCTCCAAGAAGTTATATACTTCAGAGAGAGTGGTGTAGCTACTACTGTAGTTGGGAGGGGGTGTTCCTTGTTGGCCCGCAAATTGGGTAGTGGGCGAAATGTTAACTTCTAGCATGATCCAGCAATGAGAGTGAACAAATAGTAAAATTAAACAATTAAAACCACGAGAAAATGGCTAATTTCATACATTTACAATAAGCATGGGCTCTACCACTCTGATAGAGCCCATGCAATAAGCAAAACTGATGAAGAATGTGTAAATCCAACAATTTCATGCATCATCACATGGCATCGTTTATCGCATCAATGAATGTGTTCGACCACCTAATTTTTATGCAGATCGAATGAAAACTGTTTGTTGTTACTATTTTAAAGTTTAATGAATGATATTTGATCTACAAATGACATAATTTCTTGGATAAAAGCATACGTTTTCGAATTACCTATATTCGGCCATTTAAATGTAATTACGTATCGCAAACCCTGTAACTTAGGTAAAATACCGCTTAGTGTTATAACAAACTACGTATAGGTATTGGTAAATGGGTTATTTATGCTAATCTTAAACTCCGTAGTGTTGCTTATTATACGTTACCCTACTATCACACCAAACTAGTTCTCACTACGTTCTCGAAAACGTGTTTCAACTGTGTACGAATGGACTGGAGTACTCAGAACCGTTTGGGGTCTATTTACAAACTTCATCGAACGTACTCGAACGGGTAGGTCCTCTAGAACTTAGAACATGCTCAAAATGTTCTCTTGGTCGTCACGTTCTACAATTAGAACGAGTGACAACCTACTAACGACGAGCTAGACGTACTACGAACGGAACCGTCGTACTTCAATCCTACTAGGGACGTTTTTACAACGAGTTGAACTGTCTAAGGACGTATTGAGAACGAGGTAGAACTAACTGCAAACGGGTTAAAACTGAATAAGAACGTATTTATCAACGAGTTAGCAAAAATATAGCTATCACAACAAGCAAGTTGCCACTGCGTTCTTCAAAATTGGTTTTAAACTGTCTGTTTACGAACTTCATGGACGTTCCCGGATTTATGAACGAAGCAGCAAATTATTTTAGACATATTCCCCGACCACAGCCAGATTGAGCCCGTTTTACGGAGTTTTCGTAGGACTGGCAAGAACGGTCAAGAACTAGTTTGGTGTGATGAGGGTGAGGTCATAGTTGTGATATTTAATTCTATTCAAAAGTTAGTGTTCACGGTTCAAGGTTTATATTAAAAAACCTTCGCCAATTTTCTAAAAATGACCTTGCTCCAGGTGAGGCTCGAACTCACAACCTCCGCATTTCCTAGCACTATGTAGCACTGGAGGCCTGCTCACTGTCTATAAGTACGGCGCGCTAACCGATTGCGCCACTGGAGCTTGGTTGAATACGGATTGAATATCATCCTAGGAATAACCTATTTACGACCATTTTGTGTTTCTCAAAACCTCAAAATTGTACCAACAAAAAGTTCTAAACATCAATGCACCCTTGCTGAAATCCTATTTTTTCTCAGAAGAACTCAAGTTGATTGAGTCTCAACATGTGGCATGGGATAGTACTGCAAGAATCCATTTTCGATAAGAATGTGGGTTCTTAAACAGGACATTAAGGCTAACTAAGGCCTTTTTGAAATTAGTTCTAAAAGATGCATTTTATACTTAATGTTACTTAATCTTTTTACACGTTGATTAGTATGTACAGTACATATAGTAAAACGGTAGCACATTAAACATCAATGCATCCATTTAAATTGCCTTTGTTTTGTTAGAGACCCATGCCTATAATCAAATCCTAACTAGAGCCTGAGCTTGTATTCGCAAATACAACTAACGCCGTTCGGCTACCAGATTAACCTAATTTTCATGACGAACTCATTCAAGTATGAATGTAATAGTGGCAGGTACTATTCATATCTAAATGAGTTGCCCATTAAATAGCAGGTAAATCCGGTAGCCGTCAGGCGTTAGTTGTGTTAGGCGTTAGAATAAAAGCTGAGCCACATTTGCTCCGATTCATCAACCGCCGCTCGGCCGATTGAGTATTTTGTAGACTCAATCGGCCGGACGCCGGCCGATAAATGGGAGCAAATATGACCGAGGCTTTTGCTTTGTCGATTACCATTCTAATCTCTTATTTGAAGGGGACTTTTGTGGAGTTACTTTTAAGTTGACAATTGTTCCTTCAAATAAAGCTAGAATATGAGTTCATAGTGATCGATATACATAGTTATTTAAACATATAGATCATAGATAACGATGTATCTATATGTATATGTCAAATGTGTCGCTGGATTAAGTGTGATGACACGTTTTTGTGTGAACATGTATTGAACCAATACTGTACTTCGTGATTACTCACAAGATGTTTAAGCCCTTAACTTTTCCAAAACTCTCGGTTTAATACCAAGTGATTAAAGGCCTATGGAGCCATGTCCTGCCTAGTATCATTGTGGCTCAGCCCATAGCATGTTTAAGAAAACGGATCCGTTTCATTAACAAAATGGAGGACCCTTGAAGGTTCGATTTTTCCCTTTCCATGATTTCATGGGATATATGCATCTAATCCACGGCCTTTTCGGCACAAACGTGGGTTGGAATCATGTGTTTTGAGAAATCTAAGCGTTTGCTTAATAATAGTTCACGAGACACCAGAATATAATTCCTCATTTTTGTTACGTAAACGGAACCGTCCATTTCCGTAACGATAGTGGGAATTGTTTTGATCATTCATGGATCTCACGAAGTATTCCTTCGCAAACGCTTAGCGTTTCTAAAACATATATGATTCTGATATACGACTGTGTGTGCCAAAAGGTGATGAAGAACCTGCCTACAACTCGTGAAATCATAAAAAATAAACCTACCAGGCTGCTCCATCTAGTAACCGAGGAGGGTCCGTTTTCGTAACCAGATTGAAGATTTCCCTAAGAGTGATAGATATCACTTGTATATTTGATTATACGAATGTCAGAGAGGAAAATCTACGAAGTTCAAGTCAAGGGTCGCAATATTTGTTGTGTTTTGTTTGTTTCTGTCAGTGTGTTGTTTGTGTGTATATCTTGTTTATTAAGATAACACATCTGTTTGCATCTTCAGGCTTTACCCAAACTAAGCTTCCGCAGCAAACATGCTTGGGTAAGTTTACTAACACCACCATATGGAAAATAGTTCACATATCCAGAGTGTTTGATTATCATAAAACGGCTTTGAGAGTAAAATTTAGTTTTAGGAATATTTGTATGCTAACACGAAGTGGGATTGGTAACCGGACAACTCATCCCCTAGACAACTCATCCCTGGACAACTCATCCCCTAGACAACTCATCCCCTGGACAACTTATCCCCTAGACAAGTCATCCCCTAGACAAGTCATCCCCTAGACAACTCATCCCCTGGACAACTCATCCCCTAGACAACTCATCCCCTGGACAACTCATCCCCTGGATGACTAATCTTTAAGCATGTTTGAGTATTGTAATTTAATATTATATTACCAATTCATATCTGATATTCAAATGATTTTTTAATGTTTTGGTTGTGAATATGGTCAGCTTTAAGTTTCAAAAAACATATATTACATGAACAATGTTACTCCACTCGATTATGATGTTGATCCGTCTGGGTAACAAAATGTTCGAGCCTCAAAGGTATATACGATTTTTCTTTTTTCCTCATATCACGAGTTGTAGGCAGAATTCCCATGACATTCTATATCTCACTTTTGTTACTTTATGTAAACAGAACTTCTAAAACGGTTAAGATCTGCACTTCTAACCGATTCCGTTTATGTAACAATAGTGAGGTATTAAATCAACGATTCTGTCAAACATGTACATTTTCTTAAACATATGAAACCGACAAACGTTTGTGATAAAAATGTCGTGGGAATTCTGGCTGCAACACCGGAATTAGGTAAAAATCAAAAGTGTTTCTTTGACATTTTGTTACGATCTGTTTCCGTAACCAGCATAATCTAGTGGAGTACCAGTGATAAACAAAATCTTTCTGGAGGGGAAAATTGCTAAAAACAAAGAGATAATCAACCAATTAATCTGTGATTTGTTTTGTAAATATTTATTTTTCATTTCGATATGATATTAACCAGAGACATATAAAACATTATATGTCTCTGTATTACCATTGATTGAAGAAGTTCCTTTGATGTTATAAATGTTTGTTCATAGCTCAAATATTCTTTAATCCAAAGATTATTTTTTCACAGCATTCACAGATGAAGTTAATGAAGTTCATGTTTAACTTAGACACAAAGAGAATTTTATTTGTTTGGTCAGGAAATATTGAGTTATGTAATATAAGAATAAGAGATGAGAGTTTTAATGACATCGTTTGACTGTTTATTTGTGTCAGTAAAGTAAAAAATAATATTTTGAATGATCTAAGATGTATTTACTAAGTATTTATTTTCAAGACACACTTTACAATTTAGCTTCATGTGATGAAGGATGAGTTGTCCAGGGGATGACTTGTCTAGGGGATGACTTGTCCAGGGGATGAGTTGTCTAGGGGATGACTTGTCCAGGGGATGAGTTGTCTAGGGGATGAGATGTCCAGGGGATGAGTTGTCTAGGGGATGAGATGTCCAGGGATGAGTTGTCTAGGGGATGAGTTGTCCGTAAGCCGTGGGATTTATACATAAGACGTTTGATTTATTTGAAAACTACATTGTGACTTTTAAAAATATGTAAATTCGAAAAAATATAACATCTACATTAATAGGAGGATAGCGTCGAAGAAGATCAAACGACAAAAGAAAAGGAAGTCGAACCATCTTCAAAACAGGAAGATGTTAAGGAGGACACTCCAGCCGCGGCAGCAGAAGAAGAGACAAAAACAGTTGATGTCAAAGTAGAAGCAAAGAAAGAAGAGGAACGGGATCAACCAAAAGAAGAGACTGCTAAAGAAGAAACGAAAGAAGATGCATCAAAGAAGGAGGTGGAAGATAAGAAAGGAATGGTATGTGAACATGCTGCACGTGTGTTTTTATGCTGCACAAGTACAAATTTGTTATTCACTTAATTAAAGGTAACACGTTATTATACTGATTCACATACAAATATAATTGGTCGTGTGTTTGTAATTGTTTTTACGAATAAGTCAAACTTTCATAATTACCCTAAGTTATTCTTATTTGTTTGAGAGGTGATGCTGATTAGGGTGTAGCTTTAGTTTTAAATGATATACCAATCATTGACCAGTATTCTCGAGCTTTATTTTTTGAATTGGTCATGTTATTTTATAAATGTTAAATAATAATAGTTTGTGATATGTGTTTTATAATAACTGTAGGTAGTCGCTTCATTTCAAAATGCCGGAATGCTTGGCTCTGTTTGAGTTATAGCATTCAAATGTTATAAATCAAATAACCAAATGTTTCGTTGTTTTGAAATGCTTCAGTTAGTCATATAATAATATAATTTCTTAGCTTTTCTTTTCTATCCTCTATGCTGTTTGCTTCTTCAGGCTTTGCCCAAACTTAGCTTCCGTGCCAAACATGCCTGGGTAAGTTCATATCTATATGCAAAATAAAATATTGATCTAAGTATAGTTAAAGATGCTTTACAAATAATTTAATAAGTCCCATAACCAAACTATCTTTATCTCTTCGATTCTAAAATCCTCAAAACCCATCGCTACTAAAAGTACATAGGCCTATCCCATGTTTTTTCAGTCGAGATTCTTTTTAACTATTTTATAATATTTTTATTCTCACAAGACAACACAAATACCAAAACATAATCAAAGTAGCATGCCTGGACATACTGACTACTGTTTATAGGATAGTGTCGATGATGAAGCTACATCTGAAACAGTTGAAGACGTAAAAGAGGAAGTAAAAGAACCGGCCAAAGACGATGTGGTAGAGGAAACACAAGAAAAGTCTAACGAAGAAGCAAAAGCAGAAGAGAAACCTGAAGAACCAAAGGCAGAAGAAAACGCTGAAGAATCAAAGACAGATGAAGTAACGGAAGAACCAAAGACAGATGAAGTAACAGAAGAACCAAAGGCTGATGAAGCAACAGAAGAACCAAAGCCGGCCGAAGTCACAGAAGAACCAAAGGCGGATGAAGCCACAGAAGAAACAAAGGTAGATGAAGCCACAGAAGAACCAAAGGCGGATGAAGTAACAGAAGATTTAAAACCGGCCGAAGTTACAGAAGAACCGAAGGCGGAAGAAGCCACCGAAGAACCAAAGGTGGATGAAGCCACAGAAGAACCAAAGGCGGATGAAGCAACAGAAGAACCGAAGAAGGACAAAGTAACAGAAGAACCAAAGGCAGGTGAAGTAACAGAAGAACAAACAACAAAAGAAGACACTAAGGTCGACGAGGAAACGGCAGAAGGCAAGGGAGAACAGTCAGAAAGCTCCAGTGGCGAGGATGTTAAAGACAGTGTCGACGTAAAGGCTGCAGATGAGGAGCAGGCAACTGCAAAGGATGATGTGGTAGAAGCAGAACAAGTTAATGAAACAGAAGTCCCCAAAGAAGAATCAAAAGTAATTAAATTGTGCTTAATTACCATCAGAAATAACTATTTCAATAGCTTTTAGTTCACCAATACCATGCCACTTAACCATTGCCTATCATATTTTCTCTTCTTGATTCAAACGCAGTTTAACCTTAGATTACCATAGACATTCGCGTAGTTATAGTACAACAAACTCTTGGATCTATTGCTACACCAAAGAACATGAGTATCTAGCCAATTTACACTTCGTTCTTGATGTAGCAATAGGTGACGTGATTTGTGAGAAAGGTCTTAGTATTTCCGAAATCCTAATATAACATGCTTTATACACAAAGGCCGTAACACTATTGACAATAATACACTGTTATTAACATTATTATGATTTTTGATGTTACAATTTTAATTTAGGTCGATGAAACGACCAAGGAGGAGTCCAAGGAGGAGGAAAAGACCGTTGAAGTTGTACGTATTACTGGTCGATTAAATTCAATAGGTGTACAAACCGAAGAAACGATGGGTTTATTTAATGATTTTAAGGTATTGGGTGTTCTTAGTTTTGAGAATGGCGTGAACGTGAACCAAACACATACCTACAATTGAAGTCTTTCTACCATTTGATTGATATGTCTGACTAGACGTGAAATGGTTTGTACCAAGGTAGAAAATCAAAAGCAAGTTTATATTTTGAAGTATTAAGTGTGGTAATCTATGAAATTCAAAAATATACTTGATTTTGACAAGCTATCTTATTTTGATTATAAGGCAACATGGTGCAAATGTGTTAATAATCATACCCCAAGAGTCCCTCTCATATGATAAGTGAATCACAAAATGATTTTACAGTTCAGACGCTAATATCATCGAAATGACCTCGATTTAATGACCTTTTATGGGAATGTAAATGAAAAACGAACATTATACAGGCTGGGCAGAAATGGGATACTCACATATTTCCTATAGGCAGTGAATGGACTGGCGCGAACTCCTTAAAGTCTACTATATTAGGGAATGAAGTTGAGTTCGAGTTTTCGATCACATATGGTTACATGACCTTCAAATTGACCTTCAATTCAAATGGAAGTTTCGTGCAATGTTGCTTAAAGTCCCCATATAAAGTTTAAACCACTTTGGCCTATATTGTAGTCCTACCAAATGTTAGCAAAGTGTGACATGTGAAACTTTTTTTTTAATTTCAAAAAGTGGTTTTTGAACTTTTTGATAAAAAAAATCGTGTATTTATTTCAAACTAACATTTAGAGGTCACAAGTATCTTTTAATAAGCCACAATTCATTTCAAGGCATAGCATTCATTCTCGCATGTTTTTGCCGAAAAAATTAAGAAAATCGGTTCATAAATATGCTAGAAATGAACTCATCAGTGCATGAAAATTGTTCAGAGAAAAATGCATTTCAAAATTCTAGTTTACATAGAAACCAATGGTACAATAAAATCAAAAACATAATATATATTCTTCCTTTCAACCTGGTTAGACAATCAACATTGGTTTATTATTGGAGTTTAGCTTATTTAGAAAAGACTGACAGAGAAAAAAAACTCAATTTTTCACAAAGTTTTTGCCACCTGAGTGAGTCATAATGACATCACTAATGATGCAAAATGTTTTTGATATGCTAAAACATTGAAGTGGCCATTAAATATGGCATTTTATTATTGAAATAGTGTGTCCTTTGTTCAATCTTTGCATTGGTGTTAAAAATATTATATTTTTTTGAAATGTATGAAGAAATATTTGATGATTAAAAAGTTTCAACTTTTTTTGAAAAATTGCGGGAAATTTGAATATTTGAGATATGAAATGCTCACAACTTTTTTTCTTATTTTTTTCAAAAATCTCTAAAATAACTTTTAAAGTCATGACAAATAGTAAATGAATGATAAAAAATATTTTCAAACTTTACATGGGGACTTTAAAGACTTCTATTGGGCAGTAGTTATCATATAATGTAGCCTTATAATTGCAATTGCGACTACCCTTTAGGCTGATAATACGTCATGATATTATAAGGAGCTCGAGAATGAACTCTTATGCTACCAGCTTAAAGGGAGTGAACATTGTCTAATCAAGATATTTCTATCAATTTATTTGAATAACCCTTAAAACACTCTTTTTGATTTTTGGTTTGTCAATACTATACTTCTATCAGTATTTTTGTGAAACTATCCTATACATTAATACTATACTATACTATCACTTTACTATTCATCCCTGGTATCAATTGCAATATTTGCCATTTTTCAATCCCAATATATCAAAACTGATTTATCCAAATATTGTTTGTGAAAAATAACAAGAAGTAACAATTAGTCTAGTCGAAAGAATTTTGTGAGTCCTTATGCATTAATTTCAAATAACCTTTTAAGATTAAATTGTTTTTATTAAGGTCCCAGCTCCAATGATAGAATATAGAAGCATATGTAATATCTGACATTGATCAAATTTAAATGTTTTAATAGACGTAAGTGATGCTGTATATTTAAATAGTACTATGTACTAGTATTAGTACTAATTATTAGTAACTATGTACATACATGTATATGATACTTATCCATTGGATCCAATCTGAAAATATAATAGCAGTATACAATTCAATATTTCAGCCTTTAGAGGAGAAGAAAACGGTAAGCATATTTCCATATATATAATTCATTATGTGCATGTTATATTGCAACTAAAACTGATTAATGCTTTTATATAATCCAATATGTGCGAGACGCCAAAATGTCAATTTAGGCGTTGGTTAATATATAAATTATTAAGAGTTGTCTTTGAAAACTATAATCTTCGATATCAGATTTCTCGGTAGATCATATCTCGATATTCTAATGGATATTGTTAGTATCACAAAATAATCTACCCACGGTTCCAATCGTACATCAATTTATAGCCATATAAAATCCAATATGACGACGACGACGATGATGATCTTGGAACTATGTTGGATACTTGGAAGGATGCAAAAGATACTTTAAAACTCTTGTCTGGAATGGCAAAACGAGAAGAACAAATTGAAGGACAGAAACTTGACAATGACAATTCAGAGTCAGAAGTGGATTCTAAGATTGAAGAAACTAAAACCGACTCAAGTCAAGATATATCTAATATAGGCAATGAATCCTATCCTAATAACAAAGGCCCAGAACAGAATATATCTGAAGAGTCTGGGCGAACCAACGACTCGATTGCTAACAATAGCATCGAAGCTTATTTCGAATCTGATTCTGAAAGACCTAGAATTGATGTTGCTATGGAAGAAGTGAATGGGCTGGATGATGATGTAAAAACCGATACTGAATCATGTAAAGAAGAAACAGTACATGAAAAAGAAGAGGTATATCGCACATAGCACATATATGTAGATTTTAGTGCACACTTTATTCACATACAGAATAGAACAGAATGCTTACAAAACGTTATGGTTGCAAGTAATACGCAAAGCAATACTTTAGGCAGAATTGGAATGCCCAGGCACAACGACGTGTGACACCTTGGGGAATGAATTGCGTAGACGATCAGTAAGAATATACGCGCACTGATTACCAATACACCAATCATCGCATCCCATATAATATAAACATTTTATTTTTCATTTCATATACATATTGCAGTTTCAGTTTTCAATGTACATTTTAGATCACCAATCACAATTTTTAGTATATTGTTTTGCTTGATTTCAAATACAGTAGGCTATATACAGAATGTTATCAATGAAATTGACAACTCTTACATTGCATTCTCGAATGACTTCACAAGCTGTGTTCGACCATATACTGCATTAACACGCATTGCTTTTGCCTTTCTGCTCTTTAGGTGCTTGAAAAAGTAACATTCAAAAAGAGAGATCCTTGGGTAAGCTACATAGAATTCTTTAGTAATTATCAACTCTTGTCCTTTTACTTTATTGACTTGTGACTGATATTGAATATACATGTACTCTTCAGTTTGAATTACTTTCCAATTATTTGAATAATTGAATTCCTTAACTGCGGTCACATTCAATCTTTGATAGGGGTTTAGCATGAAATACATGAAATAGAACAGAATAGGGTGAGACTACAAATTGGGTAAATAACTTACTAATTTATTAATTCGTTTTTTAACTAGGATGATGATAACACGGAGCCAGCTCTTGATGAAAAGGTGGTTGTCAAATTTAATAACATGCTGGTTGTTTGGCTTTTGATGTTTATAAAATATTCTTGAATATATACATTGATTTTTACTGCACTTATTGTAGGGTATATCTGCACTTGCCATAGATAGCTATAGCATAATGGGAAGACAATCTCCCAGCAATTCATTCAGTGCGTTCGAAGCTTCTTCCTTCTTTCTGGAAGATGTTAATATAGCGCTGGTTTATCTCAGATTCATGTCAAGAACCCGGGGCCAAGAAATAGTTAAAGTATTCAGAGGCAAAAAGAACGCACTGAACGTTGTGCTGCTTAGTTGACTATGATGATTTCTCTTCCAATAGACGTAAAACATGTTATGTTTGTGTCTTGTTAATGTATCTTATAATGTTGGTTGCTTTTAGTTAGAGACAATATTTTAGAAGTGTAGATTGTATCCAACCGAAATACGTATAACTATAGATAGATTAAGATAGTACCTGCAATAATGAAATACGATTCAAATTATTGTTTTGTTTTATAAATGAATATATATCTTGTATCGTACATCTCCATACGATTCAACTACATTATTTAACGTATTTTGTATTTGGACATGACAGAAATACATCAACAAAATGAATGTTTTCTTTTAAAATGGCTGCATCCCAAGCAATATATTTATATATATTTAGGATGATGAGAAAGTGAAACAAGATGCCAAGGATGCATTAGAACTACTCGCTTCCCTAGATAAGTCTGAAGAAAAAACAGCTGAAGCTAAACTGGATGAACAATCCGAGGTAAATTAATCAATTCTTGATCAAAAACTTGATTCTATCGAATTCACTTATAGCAGTCAGTCATTTACGCAAATTATCAAACCACACTGAGACATTCATTCTATTTTTCTCTATTTTACCATATAGTCTAAATATATTCATGTTCATAAAACTTATGTTATTTTGTAATTTGAACTTCTTATTTAACCTTTTTGTCCAAACTATTTTTCTTTGTATTTAAATGTTACTTTCTTTCAATCTATATTTTATTGGTATGTACACCAAACTATAATGTTGATGATGTTTGCATCGTTAGTTGCAACATGAAATGCTTCTAACATTGATCTGTACCTATAGACCACAAACGAAGATCAAGTTAAGCAAGATGCCCAAAATGCTTTAGCTTTGCTAGCTGGACTAGATGATGCAAGCCAAGATTCTAATTCGACAGAAAATGCTGTCGTTGAAGAAGAATCAAATAAAGAATCCATAAACTTGATTACAAGTGAGGAGGCACAGACGATTGAGAGGGATCAAACGAACAATTTTAAAAGTAGCGATAACACAGGTGAAGTTGGTGAAGTTGGTGAAGCCAAAGGAGAAGATAATGGTGTAGCAGACGAAGCAAGTTTAAATGCCAGTAAACAGGAGTCGTCATATGAGGACGACGAGGCGGAGAAAGGATCAACTAAAGAAGAACAAGGTCCGGATGATAACACTACAGAGTGTGTAATCGAAGAAAATGTGTTAATGGACCCAGACCAGGAAACAACTGATAAGTCCATTTTGGAAAATGTAAAGGCAGAAGAAACAAAAAGTGAACCAGAGCTTTCAGAACCGCAAAATTCAGAATCTAATGACACCAAAGATGGGGAGAACTTGGAAGGAGACGAGTCCCCAAAGGAAGAGGCAAATGAGTGCAGTGACGACTCTAAACAACCAGCAACAGATGAAGATTCCACTGTTGCAGATGATATGGAGGTATTGGTGACTGCACTGAAGTTGGAGAATGATCACGTTTTCAGATATTATTTTATCTTAAACTGATAGTATTTGATTTATCCTACAATTATTTTTTCCTTTCAGTTTTAGTTCAACCAAACAGACGAATGAAATGGATAGGGTTGAACTAGTTTTACTGATTTTTATGTCGTAGTGTTTATTACATATTGATTGACTAACAAATTGTCAGCCAGTTAACCTAAAAGCACTCGTGCTACCTATTCGAAAACAGAATAATAAAAATAAACATATCGATTTGATCTAGAATTTGAATGAAAATTCTTTGATCAGAGTTAACAATTCTTTCCAATCTCTAAAATTGAAATAATGCAATTTAGGTTGTCAGCAAGGTCCAACAAGATGCAAAAGATGCCCTTTCTTTGTTGGCTTCATCTACAGAAGGGTCATCATCAGAAACAACCACTGTACAATCTGGCTCATCGTTCTCTTCTAAAACTACCACCGAAAGGGTTGAGATTACTTCTGGTGGGGTAACTGAAGTCAGTGAAACTACAACCACTGAGGTTGAGGATGTTCAGCCTATGGTTGAAGAGATCAAGATTAGTGATGTCCTTGCCAAAGCTAAAGCAGATTTAGCAGCTCTGAAGGCTAAAGCAAAACAAATTCGACAAGAGAGCTTAGATGAAACACAATCCATTCAAAAATTGGTAACTTTCAAAGTTGTTTGCTTTCGACCATGGTTTAAAGATCATATTTGAGGAAGCTGTTACCACAGACTAATATGGCTTATTGCAAGATTAAGGAAAACACAATGAAACTAATCCTATGTTTTACGGACGATACTCTGAAACAATTTTATTTTATTTAAATTCTAAACCACATTCATGTTTCGTTATCAATGGGTTGCTACTTCATATGATTCATCAGCACGTATGTCATCTGCTTCATTCATTGAAAAAGCATGGATCGACTGGCCTTCCTGCCAACTTACATAATATGATTGTCCTTGGAAAACGTACTAATTGCTGGAATGCACCGTTCTTGTTTCGATTGAATATGTTTATGTTATGACGCGTTTCTACAGTATATTGTGTGTCACGCTTGGCTGTTACATGGGTTTGGAATGGAATGTTTATTCTATATAGCCTCTATATATTATATATAATTTTCTGCTTCAAATATTATCCAAGTGATTTTCTTTTGTATGAGTGATATAAACACCAAGTGTATATTTAAGTGTCTATTTAGCTTTCTTTCTGCTTCAAATATGTACCCATCCTTCTTATTTACTCATGTATGGATGATATCAACATCACTATCTTCCAAATGTATGATCTAATGACGCTTATCTCTGCCACCAACAGCATATCATACGTTCTGCTTATATTCTTCATCCTGATTTGTTAAATAACTTCCTTATTTGTATTTTAGGAAGAGGAAAATGCAGAAAGTTTAGAAAAGGTATAAACTCAGATCTGTAGGCATGTTTAGATATCGGATAACTTTGGATTAGGTCTCATTCAACAGAAGAAGGTTTATATGACATATAATGAAAATGGATCTCTTCTTTCCCTCAAAATTGGTATGATGGAAATGCAATCGAAAGTATGAAAATAGTTGTAACTTTTTATAGATGATCTTTAATGATCACTGTTTGATTTGTATGTTTAGGGTACAGCCAGACACGAAGAAAGTAGGAGTGTGAAGACATCCAGTAGATCCGAAACTAAAGGTGAATAATATATTAATTAATTAACACGTGTCAACGTTTGTATTAGGTAGAGGTGTTACCATACATTTCGATACCATGAATTTCCTACTATTAGTTCGATCTACACTAATTGAGATTTAAATAAGTAAATAATATAAGTACGACTATAATATTAAATTCAATTAGATAAAAGCACTGATAATATATACGTAAAGATATCTCATCAACTTTTGATCATATTTATAATTCCCTAATCCAACCAAAACTAATGTTCCATCGTAAAAAGATTTGCAGTCTTAACGATCAGACCCCCAAAATTCGTCGATAAAAACAATGTAGGATTATCTTAATTTGAGCCATTTGAAACTATGCCTTGGATTGTGTAGTTAATTGCTTACCAATAGAGTCACCCATGGTATTTCAAAATGGTTATGTACATGTATCATGTACCATTGAAATAGAAACATGTGAATGAACTGTATGATTATTACTTATGTTAAATGGTAGCATTGACATTGCACATAACTTTGACAACTATGGAAGGCTCTTATGCTTTTGTCACTATGAACAAATTATTTCACGTGTACCATTTTATGTTTTCTTTTTCAATATCTTTTAACGTTTATTTAAATGTAATTTCAGTTATGTCAGCTTCTTAAATACATATTTATATGATATATGATGTTTAGACACAAAATAAAAATAAACAAACAGACTTGTTAACATAAATTGAAGTGAAATAATTTTTCAAGCGAATTTTGAAACATATACTACATCCTCTCTCCTGTACATTTGATTATTACATTTTAGTATTAGTCTAAAATTATAATAATCAATCCAATTTTAATCTTTGCTTTGCCAATATTTCCTCTACCCTCTTCAGTGGAAACTAAGGTGGAAGCATCCAGCGAATCATCATCATCGTTTGCCGAGGTAAAGTACAACTACATATCACTACTAATACATGCTGTATATCCATATGTGTTCAAAGTATTTTAGCCTTGAACGCTGCGTTTCTATCTCTTCAAACTCTTGCTAATCGTGACTCTTTTGCAATTACTCTGCCAACATAGAAAAAATATTTCCAAATATATGTAATCATAAGTGTGAAACTTTCATCATGAACATTTAAACATATACACGGTAATAAAAAACTGGAACATATCTCTCATCTAAAATGTACCTTTTTACTGAACGTAGATATTTCGACTTTGCATTTTGTGTAAAATTCACTGATGATCTACTTCCGTAGCAAATATAGAGCACAGATCAATTTGTAAAGAGAGACGTTGACTATTTGTATATGTATGTTATCATGATGGAATAGATCTTTACACTTTACAGAATAGTATTGTACAGTTGAATGAACTATGTACAATGCATTGCATTTAGGATCTAAAATAAAAAATTTACATTCATTGAACAACTGCTTTGTATGTGCCACTCCCTACATAATATATATGCTCAAATTAGTTCAGTCTTAAAGGTCCGATGTAAAGTTTGAAAATATTGGTAAATGAGTCAATTATTATTTTGAATGACTTGAAAAACCATTTGAGATATTTTTCGAAAAATATGACTTTTGAAAAAAGTTGCTCATCTTATAATTTCCAAATATTTGAATTTCAGAAACAAACGTTTAGATTTTAGATCAACAAATACAACGCTTAACTTTGAAAAAGTATTTTTTCTCTATTCCATTGTACTTATTACTTAAATGTCATATTTCAATCATTCAATTTCAAGCATATATAATAAACTTTTAATACATTCTAAAATTGTGATGTCAGGATGATACGTGTACACTGCTATTATGTCACGCTCGGGTATTCAAATAATTTTTCGTATATGGTCAAAAAACTTTTTCTTCTACAAATATTTATCAAATATGCTAAACGTTCTACATGCAACAATATTATTGGCCTATGTATGTTGAAATTCAGTTTTTATCATGGTTTAAATATTTATGCACCATTGGATTCAATGAGAATCAAATTTTGAAATTCTCTTAACCACTTTTCTTCTCGCTTTTGAGTTAAGTTCTGTAAACATTACATTCTGCATAGCCTTTAACGTAATGCATACGGTATCATACTAAGCAATAAAAAGTATATATCATCTACATTTGTCATGCATGCAAGATAAGAGAAAACTTTTTTACAACAGCTTTGTTAGATTTCTAAATGTTATAAGTCCCATATTGTAACACTATTTCTACACTTTCCAGGAAAAACATCTTTCAGCTACCGCTGAGAAAATTACTTTCAAGAAGAAAAGTTTTGTGAGTGAATTTTAGAATCATAATAGATATTATAATGTATATTAGTTATTATTTGCTCCTATGGCGTCATGTCCCCCAGACAATGTAATTTTGATACCTGATTTATTTTTTATAACATAGTTAAGTATAAATTGTTTATAAGGACAGTACATTACAATAGCATAATTATATATTACATTATTTTTTATGATAATTAACAATACACTAAAAGGATTATTTTTTTGTATTTTATAGCTCGACGATGACGAGGATGCTGGGGTAGGCATACTTTCAATTTAATTTAGCTACACTCCCATCATAATTTTGGCAACAGGAAGTCCCCCTACACTCCCATCATAATCTTGGCAACAGGAAGTCCCCCTACACTCCATTCATAATCTTGGCAACAGGAAGTCCCCACTACACTCCCATCATAATCTTGGCAACAGGAAGTCCCCCTACACCCCCATCATAATCTTGGCAACAGGAAGTCCCCCTACACTCCCATTATAATCTTGGCAACAGGAAGTCCCCCTACACCCCCATCATAATCTTGGAAACAGGAAGTCCCCCTACACTCCCATTATAATCTTGGCAACAGGAAGTCCCCCTACACCCCCATCATAATCTTGGCAACAGGAAGTCCCCCTACACTCCCATCATAATCTTGGCAACAGGAAGTCCCCCTACACTCCCATCATAATCTTGGCAACAGGAAGTCCCCCTACACTCCCATCATAATCTTGGCAACAGGAAGTCCCCCTACACCCCCATCATAATCTTGGCAACACGAAGTCCCCTTTGGATCATTTATAAAATCCTGTTCATGTCTTGCAAATTAAAAAATTAACAAAAAATGTCATAAATTTCCGAACTATTGTAATTAAGGAACAACATTAAGATACAATATTAATAGACTTTTATATGCTGTCCAATCGAGAAGTTCCAGATGTCAAAACTTATGGAGGGGAGTGTATATACTGTGTCAATGTATTTCAACCGTAAGCACAACAAAGATATCATAACTTCATGTTCAGTCGTCTCGTTTAAATTAATGCCTACTTTCAAGTTTAATGATACAGCAACCTTTAAATGTGTTTCACAAATTTAATGTTATTATACGAAATGTGGTCTATAAATTATTCGGATAAAAATGCTCTCGTTAAAAAATTACGGTTGTGTTATTTTCTCATAATAAGGCAAATAACGACCTCATAATGCCTACAAGTATCATTTATTTTGAAAACAATTCCTGTCTTCTGCATACCATGAAGTTGACTGAATTTTGGGTTGTCTTGTACATTCAATTGAGTAAGGATTTCAGAAAGTTTGAATGACTTGATTTTATATTACTTCATTCAAACAATTGTTTAGCCATCGGAAGTCCCCGATGGTCAGGTATTAAAGCCAGTTATGTTTAAATCTTCAATATTCGAAAACGCTCAGAAATTTATGACAGCTTTGATTTTGTTAAAATTGCCAAGAATAAACAGGTTTGGACACCTGTTCCAAAAAAGGACTTCCGATTTTTAAACTTATAGCGGACAGTGTATTCAGTAAGATGTAAATTTTGGCTCTCTATATTTCAGTGGTGATAATAACATCAACATCTACGGTGGTGTAAATATATTTAATGAGACTATATAGATGGCACTGATCATGTATAATTCTTACAATAACAACACTGCCAAGACAACACAGAACAACATCTATATAAACAATCATGGACATAGTTTGTATTCATAAATGGTTCAAATATCATCTTTGTATTGGACTAGAAATTTCGCAGTCCATGTTTGATTCATCACTTCTCTTTATTTACCAACAGAGTAGTCTTGCTTCAAGATCCTGGACTATCTACGCTAACAACTGGACTTGGAGCTAGACTACCAAAAGAGATCAGACGGATGTAAGAATAAGGATAGTGTTTTATATTGAATATTGTATAATATTGCGCTTGCACATTGAATGAAGATGTTTTTTCATACGTTTTGAAATAGGATTTAAACGAATGATAGCTATTTCTAAAGAATTGAAAACTTTGTTGCCTTAGGAGAAAAAGGTTGATAATTGGTATTATCACTCACTGTACATTGCTTCTACTGTTATATAGTCCAGTTCCGCCTATAAAATTCAATTTTAAAGCTTACACTTAAGGTTATCTATATTTTGTATTATAATAGATTCTTCTAGATCTGTTCTGCTTACCCATTGTTTACATTTTAATGTTAGTATATACTATTTTAATCGATTAGTCTGTTATCCAAAGTCAGTAAATAAACATCCACTTTATTTCTAGTGATAGCTATTTGCGAAAACTCTTCAAATTCACCAATGCCTCTTGTCAAGCAGATTTGTATTATGATAGACTTTGAACATGTATATAACAGCTAAACAAACTTTTGGGCAATTACTCAGATGCGAGTTGGTAGTTACCAGTTTCGCCACCAGATGGCTAATTCGGGGGAAATGACATGGCAGGGTATTACAAAGTTCCCTTAAACTTTAATATTCATCAGTTTTAGTGGTTCACTTTTCATAGTACCCTTATGTATCTAATAGTTACACAAATTAAAATATGTCCAGTTAAGGAAAATATTATCTGCCAAACACAAGTAAAGATATTTCACGTTTTGTGATTCTACAACATGGGGTCTATGGGGAATCTCACCGACCATAGAAGTCGCATTTTCAAAGAAAATTAATTTTTTTAAATTGATAAGCTATTTTCAAAACCACATTTCTAGATGTAATTTAACATGTAGATTCCAAATATGACATCAGTTTGACTGAATTTTTAATGATGTAAATTAAGATTCTTTCTACTCGCATCTGGACTATTGAATTAAGATTTGAATTCGGATGTAAGATGTTTAGTTGTTTACATATAGAAATGTATATATTATAAAGTAACACACTTTTGTAACACTAAGATTCCGTGTGAGAGTGAAAGGAAAGTTTGCCCTGACTGACTACACTGCGTGAAATTACACTACTTTAATTTAAATTATATCTGAATTTAACTTTTGCACTATATTGGTTGTGATATTTTAAATGAATGCAATGTCAAAAGAAATATAGATAAATATGGTATCTTCTATTTCGATTCTAAATTACATGTTCATGGATAGTTACGTTTTGAGGAAATGTAGTACTGACATTGAAATGTTTTTGCTCAAAAAATAAATAAAAATCAAATTTTGTTAACACACAATACATGTTTGTTAATGTGTCAAATTACACATATGGACTATGACTACTTTAGGGCCATCATATGAAGCCGCTTTTCGAAAATAAGAACGGTTCCAGAAGACATTTTCAACTCCTGATTTCAAATCAGCATCTTAATTAACCAAATGTATGAGAGAGTATCAATTTATAGAGAGAAATACTTGCAGTTCATTCATAAAAACAAAAAATCTAGCATTAAAGGGGACCACCACCATGGTCACATGATCAGTCGTGTGGAGGTAAGCTCCCAGTTGAAATAAAAGCACTGTCCTCCTTTGGTTTATGTGAAAAGTAGCTAATACCCTCATGTATTGGTCAGTTTGTGTGTCACACGACTAATCCACACCATATGCTTCATTCAACATATTTTATGCTATTAAGCTGCATATAAAAACACTACTTTGCACTAAAAACGTACTACTGGATGAACAGAAGACATTTTCAACTCCTGATTTCAAATCAGCATCTTAATTAACCAAATGTATGAGAGAGTATCAATTTATAGAGAGAAATACTTGCAGTTCATTCATAAAAACAAAAAATCTAGCATTAAAGGGGACCACCACCATGGTCACATGATCAGTCGTGTGGAGGTAAGCTCCCAGTTGAAATAAAAGCACTGTCCTCCTTTGGTTTATGTGAAAAGTAGCTAATACCCTCATGTATTGGTCAGTTTGTGTGTCACACGACTAATCCACACCATATGCTTCATTCAACATATTTTATGCTATTAAGCTGCATATAAAAACACTACTTTGCACTAAAAACGTACTACTGGATGAACTAAGGTTAGGGTAATTAAATTAGTTGTTTCTCATTCTTGCCCGCGTGTGGCCCAATCCCCCTCCACCTTTTTCTGCCATTTCTGAGAAAAAAACACCGTACCTCGCGCGCATCCATGGCGTGTGAAACACTTTTTTTTTTACTTTTTATGGATCAGGATAATTGACAATATCGTGGTACTGATATATGATCTAATATACCAGTAAAGTAGGCTAAATTCAACATATAAATTCAAGATAAACTCAGTTTATTTCCTTCAAAGTTATTTATTTGTTTTTACAGTTATTTTAAAGAAAAAATCACCCCGTCCCTTATTAGCATTTTAGATAGACAAAAAAAGGTAATATAAAAACCGTCATTCCCGTATCCATTTTGAAAAATAGAAGAAAGAGAAACAACTAATTTAATTACCCTGGCCTAACATAAAATACAAAGCCACTAGCTAGCTCATACAGTATACTTACCCCTTGCAAATTGTAATTTATTGAATTCACAGTAAACCCATCAATTTAAAAAAAACAAAGAATATTGTTCTCATGGATCTATTATTCATGTTAAACTAACTATGAAAATATAAATATGAAATAATATGTTAGCTTGAAGTCATATATAAGTTGAAAATATATGTTCATGCATTTGCATTTTTCCAAAGGGTATACCTGTATATTCCCATGTAAGTAAATACAGGTGCAATATATAATTTATATGTATATCTATGTCATCTGTCTATACATGCGCGTATAGTGATACTTTTGAACAAGATGATGGTTCTGGAAAGAAATGAGCGTGGCAGATTTGCTAAAAAGCCACATACACCACAAAAGCAAGACCAATTTGAAAGTATTAAGGTTCATTATTCTCAAGGGTACACTTCAAGTGAAAGCTACATTGCTACAGGGTGGCCTATCATTCTGAGACAAATGTATTATCCAACGATTGTGATTTTCGAAGCTAAAATATAATATCTTGAGCAGATGGAAATACATTCCCATGAGATATGTATATATAGTCAAAAGTGATAACTATTTATTGAGTGTAATGAAACGTATCCTTCGCCGACTGCTTTTGTTTGAGATAATTATCATGAAATATTTTTAAATTAATTTTTATGTGTGTCATTGATCCTAATCCACCCTGTAGTCTGGTGTTTGTAGAGCATTGCACCTCGTACAACTTATTCTCACAAATATCAAACCTCATTTACTAATTAATTTTTTGTGTGAATATGAAGAGTCCACGCATTGCTTTTTTATGTTTACTTTATAGCTATATTTAGCCTTGATATCCATGATTTTTTAAAACAAAATCTCACCGTTAGATTTCGAGCTATTCATGTTTACTCATTTTTCTAATTGGAAAACAATGCAAATCTCATTTTTTCAAAGGAAATAAATTGAAATTCTAAGACGGTGAAAAATCATTAAAAAATATACAGATTCAGAATCCGGCAAGCATTTTCCCTTATTCCTCTCCGTTAAGAAGTTTTGTAAGGTGTTGGATCCCTTTAAGTAATGAAAAATGACTTGAATTAGGGGCTGCAAAATATTTTCTAGTTACATTTTATTTCCAAGGAGTTGTTTAATTTAGCGAAACCTATTGAGTTGTTAAGCATGCTAATTAAACTACGATAAACACTACGATGTACTGCTAAAACAATTTAAAAAGCATTTACATTTTTTCTCATCCAGCTCCAGTGGCGCAATCGGTTAGCGCGCCGTACTTATAGACAGTGAGCAGGCCTCCAGTGCTACATAGTGCTAGGAAATGCGGAGGTTGTGAGTTCGAGCCTCACCTGGAGCACGGTTACTATTTTATCAAAAAATTGAATATTGAATAATTTGGGATGCCTTCTTATGCCAAAGTTTACTATTTTCCCTACACTTAATTTAGCAACATTGTCAAAGTTACAAAACGCTTTGAATATATTCCATGACTACTAAAATATGCTTTAACTTTAAAAAGTACAACAATTTTGATCGAAGCAAGCTTATAGCTTTAATTCCGACTTACATGTAATGTGTCGAATTCGATTTATAAAAGAAACCATGCTCCAGGTGAGGCTCGAACTCACAACCTCCGCATTTCCTAGCACTATGTAGCACTGGAGGCCTGCTCACTGTCTATAAGTACGGCGCGCTAACCGATTGCGCCACTGGAGCTGGATGTGAAAGGCTGTAGCCACTGGACATTGCTTGTTTAAAGTATGTTTGAATCAAAGGATTGTGTTAAAACTTTATTTTTATCAAAAACCAAACCCGACAGGATGTTTCAAGAAATTCTGGCTTGTCTCTCAAATAAATGTGAGAGGAGTTTTGTAAGTTTTGTAGGACAAAATCCTTTTCGAAATTCATATATTTTCACTTTCACTCCAATTTTAATTTTAAGATATGACTTGAAAATGGCTCATTTAAAATTACATTTTAATCCACAAGACAAGAAATCCATTCTCTGTACGAATCCTCTGCTTTTTGAAGTAACAATTGATTCGGTTAATATGCTGCACTTTGTGCACTAGTCAGGGAAGTGACATCATGCATCTTGTAAACCAGATTGAAAAAATGACGTAATACTCATATCATGGTTGAAATATATATTTTAAAGGATATTACAGGATGACAAACCCTAACATAATATAAAATGACCGCATCATGCCTTTTGGCAAAAATGTAATGAATAACCAATTTAATAAAAGCAATTTCCACTATGTCAATCAAAATCTACCTGTTGTAGGTGCAAGTGTCGATTAATTAGATGCAAGCGTGTATGATTATTGGCCAGGGGGTATTAGGGATTGACGATTTCCTGATCTTACTTATTGAAACATTTTGGATTCAGATTTCATTTCAGTGTCATAGTAAGTATTCCATTTCGAAGCTACTGAGAGATCGTAGCAAAATGAACGCTATACGGATTATCGCATTATTCGCTCTTGTAGCTGTCTCTAAAGCCAGTGTACCATCAAAAGGTAGGTTTAATTTTTATAAAAAGGGTGCTTGTTATTGACATCATATGAAGAAGTTTCTTATTGATATAATGTTTGTTTTGTCAAAAGAAATAGATTCTGCAATGTGCATCTAAAATCTATGCCAATTTCAATATCATTTGAAAGTCAACATAAAAAGTGTTGTAAAACATTTCGATGTATTTAATTTATGCACGATTTATATATCTTTGTATTAGTTATTACATTAATTAAGATAAATTCACATTGATTCGCTCGTATACTTATTCTTATATGTTGTCAGTATACATTAAAACCTGTCTTAGTGAACACCTCTTTCTAGTGAACACCTGTCTCTAGTGGACACCCTTCATTGGCAAATACTCTATTGAATCCTCCATAAATTACCTTTTCTGTGATCACCTACCCACACAGTGAAGGTTTTTCACGAAATATTGTTTAACATACACAGGTTTTACTGTATAATGTTACTAAAAACTGATTCTGTACTTGCCAGCCTGCCAGTTCGACGGCGAATACCTGAGGGATATATTTGACAACTGCTTCTTCTTCCGCTGTGTGGGACTATCACCCATTAAGTTCCGATGTGCTCCTGGAACCGGAGTCCCAAGCAACTATGTTGATAACGGCAGCGGTGGAAGTCCTTGCTCACAGATCATAGGCACCTGTGGAATACAGAGCGCGACAAGTAAGGATTGTGGGAATGATCAAATAGGAGACCAAGAACAACTTAAAATAAAACTAAATGGGTTATGATATTATGTTAGTAGTAAAGATAGTTATATTATATATTCGATATACACGTGCATCTGGCACTCTTATCTATCCATAGCCTTGCCCAAGTCGGTCTCTTTTACTTATCTTGATTTCTATTATGACCATTCAAAATCAGATTAGTAAAAAGATACCGACTTGGGCAAGGCTAATCTATCCATAACATTCCATTAATTGACAAGGGGCACGATAGGTCCAATTTGTTTTGTTTTGGGCAGAAATGTCGTTTTATATACAGTATATTTCTGATTGAAAATGTAATTTTCTAAAGGTAAAAGTATCTCCATTTTGTAATTGAATGAAAACTCGGAAAAGTCAATAATTTCAAGTCAAGCAATGTAATTAATCAAAATACAAACATATATAAACATCTGTCCGACACAGTTACACCCCTGCCACCCACTACTGCTGCACCCACCACAACAACAACAGCTGCACCAACCACAGCTGCACCCGCCACCACCACATCAACAGCTGCTCCTGCAACCACATCAACCGCTGCTCCTGCAACCACAACAACCGCTGCTCCTGCAACCACAACAACCGCTGCTCCTGCAACCACAACGACTGCAGCTGGAACAACTGCTGCCACAACCGCAACAGCTGCACCTGCTACCACAACTACAACAGCTGCTCCTGTTACCACAACTACAACAGCTGCTCCTGCTACCACAACTACAACAGCTGCACCTGCAACAACTGCAACAACTACTGCTGTTCCATCTACTCTTTCTACTACTACCACAGCAGCTGCAAGTGCAACAATCCCAGACACTGGTAAGTGTGACATATTTATCCAATATAAGATATAATGCTCAACGGTGGAGGTCACCGATACCATGTTTATCATCTACAAAGTGTCGTCGTCCTATTTAAGTATGTCAAATATTAGCCTGTTGTAAAGGGGGACTGGTTCAATTTCTGTGCACTACATTTGTTTTGATTCCTGTTATTGTCACGGCGTTTATTTACCAGGATGTCCCGCTCCTTTCTTGAGGACGGACAATGCCAACATGGCTGGTGGATCTCTGATTGCTAATATCGTCACCATAGAAACCTGCAAACAACAATGTCTTATAATGGCTGATTGCATGGCTATTGACTTCAACACCGGCCTCAACCAGTGCTACATGCACACCGATGCTACCCTCGGCATCCTCAACATGAATGTCCAGAATGTCGTTCACTTCAGAAAGACTGCCTGTGCACAAAACGCTGGTAAGTTAATCAATCATACATTATGGATGTCGATTACAATTTATTTTTAGAATCTGATTTGGATATATCTGTGAAAATCTAAATATTTTATATTTTGTTTGATTGTAGCCCAAATAGGAATTTTGTTTTTTTCAAAAGATACGTGTACATTATACACAAATCGGTGCAAAAGCAAAGGAAATGGGATATCATACTTATATGGAACAACATTTTCACCGTTTAGAATGTGTACAATATTTATTTTAGGTCTGCCAAGCGGTTACCTGTCCGTTAGCTCCGGATATCACGTCTTAAGTGGAACCAAACAGAGCGGTACCTTCACCCTTGACTCTTGCCTATCCGCCTGCACAGCCTCCACAACCTGCCTCGCCGTGGATTACAACGCTGAAGGAAGCTGTTGGTTCCACACCAACGTCACCTCTTGCAACGCCCTCGTCTCCAAAGCGTTCTGTCAACACTACAAGAGAATCGAATGTTTCAGCGGTTCTCCTGCCATTGGACCAGGTATGAATCACATTCATCGGGTTGTTGCTGATTCAATATGGACAATGGCGCTCAACGGCGAGTTGTATGCTCTGAGAAAAAATGCTATGGATGAATCTCGCTATATAAATAACAATCAATTTGCAAACAAATAATTAAGATGCAAGAAATATCTATAATACCCGGATGTAAAATTACGCAATTACTATATTTCAGTTCCACCAACTGGATACACATCCTTCATCACTGGTTACCATATCTTCGGAGCAACACCACTGAGTGGCATCTACAGCTTGTCCGGCTGTCTGGCCGCTTGTACTGCTGACGGTAGTTGTATGGCTGTTGACTATAATGCCGGAGAGGGCACCTGCTGGCCACATACCCTCACTACATCCTGCAACACCCTCTACCAGAAGAATCTCTGTGCCCATTACAAGAAAACTAGCTGCAGTAAGTGTCTTTATTTATATAATTCCTATGTTTATGAAAAAGGATGCATTGTTTTCCATCGTTGGAAAGCTGAGAGGGTCGGCTTTAAGAGTCTGACCTCCATTCCAATTTCCTAGTGAGTCCATAGAGAACACCCTCTCATTGATAGCAAATGGCTTCTTAAAATGGGTAATTACAAGGCCCGTTTGAGACAATATGTCAGTCTATTGTTATATGTAACGACAAATAAAATATTATCTATGTATTACTTTTTCAGCAACAAGGCAGTTTATACCAGGATTTGGTAGTATATAGGAGACAAATGAGGATTTTTACAAACAATCAAGCAGGGCAGTATCAACCATACAGAGTGCTTCAATGATTCAAATCTACATTTAATAACTTGAAAACTATTTTATGAATATATTTTGCAATGAACATTAAAACTATGTTTGTTATTTGTTACTTGTTAATTTGGTTAAACGAAAAAAACAAAACAAATTGATAGTATTTAAAGCAGACTCTCAGAGATGCAGATACAATTTATTGTTTTTAAACTTGGTAATTATCAGAGTAAGGTTTCTCACATAAAATGGCCAAACTTTGACTTCTGATCTAGAACACTGGAAAAATATTCAAATGATCGCGCGAGGAAATGTTCTAAAAGCAAGGTGCGCTCCTCGGATTTCTGATGAGCTTTGAGGCCAGCACTACTGAGCCACTCTGCTTTGACACCTAATCTGTACGTATACAGACCTCGTAGCTAGACTTCCACCAACGCGAACATTAGTTATGAGCTCGTGAACTACATTCCTTGCGCTCGAACCACGATTCTCACGTCCCGAACGTGAAATCTTTTGTCGTGCACCACCATTTCGATCAGTTGTGTGGCTCGCTAGCACGGATCTCTGTTTGCGAGTGGAGAAATATGTTTGGGACCGAGGAAATGGTGGTGCACGACGTAATTTGTATTTTTTTCGAGTTTTATACATGCTATGTTTGAAATGATCGAAGAAATGTTTGAGAACTTGGCAAAATATAAGCAGAGCAAGGTTTCGATCCTCGGGCCTCTTGATATTGGGCAAGCACGCTTCTACTGCGCCACTCTGCATAGACATATCATGTACAATTCCAGGCCTCCTAGACTTCCAACAACGCGAACATCAGTTCTTATACCGCGAACTACGTTCCTTGCACTCGAACCACGAATCTTATATCGCGAACGTGAAATATTATGTCGCGCACCACCATTTCCTTGTTTCCGAACATATTTCTTGTACCTCGCACAGAGATCCGTTACCGCGAACAATTTGTACATAATACATCCGGGTGTTTGGGATTCCAAGTTACATGTATATACCAATATGCAACGGAGTGAAACAAGGAAACGAAATTCAGTTTCTCCTCCGCTTTCGCCGGACTTTCGTTCCTATGAAAAGCATGCACTTGCATGTTAGATGACCCATTCGTCACTGTATTTTAAAACGTAATTTTAAGATTGACATCCACGCCCCGAGTTGGCAGGGCTTTAAATGATGTGTCAAAGGAAAGCACGGCGTCCCACAGTCATTCATTTTTGGATCAGAGAGTATCTGCGCACGGTGTGGTGTAATAGGAGATGTCATTTGTAAAAGCGATATTTTTTTCCTTTTTATGACCGCCATTTTTTCAGACAAGTTTCTAAAATTTTAAAGATTGTATCATTTAGAGCAATATATTGGGCACATTTTCTGAAAAATTCAAAAGACTCTGTTCAGTTCATTGACCTTTCCTATGCTCCTACTTAAAACTATTTACAGTGACCTTTTCAGAGGACTGAAAAAGTTATTTCATCATGTCTAGGGTCATTCTGACCATGGTCAGTGTGATCCTGGTCACACTGCATCATGCGACCTTTAACTACAAGGTTTACTTTTATACAGTACACCTACATTGTAGTAATCAGTTATGGCTGTATTCTGTGTATATGCACTGGTCCGCCCCTCCCTCTGAGATGGGCCCAGAAAAAAGGGTCCGACATTTTAGCGCTCCACATGTCTTGGGTCAGATATCGTCCTGGTTGCTGAAGTCAGGAATTTTTGGGGAACATGGGGCAAAACGGCCCTCATAATAGTTTGATCCGTGCAGATGTTTTTCTAATCTGTCAATCATCGCGAACTTTCATGTTCCATCTTATGAAGGGATTATATTTCACATTTTCTGTGATTTTTCAGAGTGTTCGAAAATAATGTTGAGAGTAGGGCAAAATGGCCCATGGGCGGGGCAGCCCATGGGCCACAATGAAAGCTTCGGTTTTAAAACCAAGATTAATTAACTACAGGACTCGTCAACACACATTTATTTCAGAGATTAAAAAGAAATAAAGCACAAACTGCGCGCCTATTTTAGCCAGAAATTGCAAACTGGGCGCATACACTATTAAAACTACATATTATCATTGGAATTTCTACAGAGGCACGTGTAGGTGTTTTTCATATAGCTTTGGAAATTTTGTTTTATCGTCAGATTTTATGAGATTTTCATATTTAAAGTCAAAATGTATAATAGAAGTGAGTCTGACAATTAAGTTGGGAACGAAAAAAAACGTTTATTTTCAGATCACCATCTTGGTGGATGGACTCTCATAGTGTTTCAATTATGGGGTTCTACTAAAGCAGGGGTTATATCGTCGAATACACCCCACAGGGCTAGGCACAAACGTTTTCTGTACCCCGAACGACCAAAGGGAGTGAGGGGTTCGTAAGCGTTTGTGCGTAGCCCCAAGGGGTGTATTCGACGATATTAGCCCCGCTTTGAGGTCTATATTACGATTCGAACATGAAAACTCACCAAATTGTTTCGAATATTCATCATGCTCCGCCATTTCTACGACCCACCGTTATGACGTCACACATTACACGTATTAACTGGGTTATTGATCTCGAATATAACCCAGCTGAAGCATTGACTTTGTTTACAGTTTATAGAAGGCGCGAATACAGTCATGTTCGAATATTGTTTTACACACAAACTATGCTGCTTTAATCAGATGGAGTGATCCTATATATTCTAGCATACACAGACACAATGGCTGAATAAACGGCAAATGACGATAAAAAGACATAGATATAACTTTACACTGTAAATTTTGAACACAAAAGTTACTTAAGACCCTTATATTGAGATAACTAGGTTTACATCGGGAACAACATTGAGTACTATGAGTAAATTAAGTTCATCTTCACAGAATGGTACTATCTTAAGAACGAGACTAACCTTGTATTTTTCGTATTTTGGCTCATTTTGGGAGTCGTGTCCTCCCCGTCTTCCATTTTGAAATATGCGCGCAGTTTGTCAGAGTTTCAAACTGCGTGCCTAGTAGACGCGTTGCTTGACATGGGCATCGTGGTTTTACAGGCAAAGGATAGCATCTTCAAATTATCAGTAGCTGGAGCGACAGATATAGCACATCTTTATTATGATGCAATCATCGGCTCAAATGGAAAAATTTGGAAAAAGCTGGTAAAAATAAAGAAGATATTCTGGATTTTGAAGCTCTGTGATCGGAGGATGTCACTAATTTGGCCATACGTGTTGTTACTCAAAAGTCAGGTTTTTGTTGTTATTACCCAGCCCTTTCACTGAAAATGTCAATGCGCGTGATTGCAAGGTAGTCCCAATATCTTGTGTTTCCCAGAGCTTGAAAATACTGTTATCGTCAATGATTGGATATTCATTTACATGCATGAAAAACTGGGAAAATATTTCTTCCGAATTCCAGATGAAAACACCTCTTTGGAATTATACTTATGCGTAATAATACGAACAAAATTACGGACTTTTTTTGATCAGATGCGTGGTTCGCGGTAACGGATCTTTGTGCGCGGTACAAGAAATATGTTCGGAAACAAGGAAATGGTGGTGCGCGACATAAGATTTCACGTTCGCGATATGAGATTCGTGGTTCGAGTGCAAGGAACGTAGTTCGCGGTATCAGAACTGATGTTCGCGTTGTTGGAAGTCTAGGAGGCCTGAATTCGTTCTTATATAAGCGAGAATACCAGCAATGTTTTAAATGATTGAAAAAAATAGCTGAGCAAGGTTCCGTTCCTCGGACCTCTGGGTTATGGGCAAAATAGCAGCTGAGCAAGGTTTCAATACTCGGACTTATGGGCACACCCCGCTTCCACTGGAACACCCTGCTTTCACATAGCATGCCTATCCTGCATTTTATACTTCTATAGAATAAATGATTGAAGGGATGTTTAAGAATTTTGACAAAATACCAGCAGAACTAAGGTTTCGACCATCGGACCTCTGGGTTATGGGCCCAGCACGCTTCCACTGCGCCACTCTGCTTTCTGATAACACACATATCCTGTTCGCAATCTAGAATACATGATATGCTAGAAATGATTGAAGGGATGTTCGAGAACTTTGGCAAAATATTAGCAGAGCAAGGTTTCGATCCTAGGACCTCTGGGTTATGGGCCCAGCGCGTTGCACTGCGCCACTCTGCTTTCTGATAGCACACATATACTGTTCGCAACCTAGAATACATGCTATGCTAGAAATGATTGAAGGGATGTTCGAGAACTTTGGCAAAATATTAGCAGAGCAAGGTTTCGATCCTCGGACCTCTGGGTTATGGGCCCAGCACGCTTCCACTGCGCCACTCTGCTTTCTGGTAGCACATATATCCTGTTCGCAATGTAGAATACATGCTATGCTAGAAATGATTGAAGGGATGTTCGAGAACTTTAGCAAAATATTAGCAGAGCAAGGTTTCGATCCTCGGACCTCTGCATTATAGGCCAAGCACGCTTCCACTGCACAACTCTGCTTTCTGATAGCACACATAGCCTGTTCCGGTCAAGAATAAATGCTATGCTAGAAATGATTGAAGGGATGTTCGAGAACTTTGGCAAAATATTAGCAGAGCAAGGTTTCGATCCTCGGACCTCTGGGTTATGGGCCCAGCACGCTTCCACTGCGCCACTCTGCTTTCTGATAGCACAGATATCCTGTTCGCAATATACATGTAGAATACATGCTATGTTTGAAATGATTAAAGAGATGTTCGAGACCTTTGGCAAAATATTAGCAGAGCAAAGTTTCGATCCTCGGACCTCTGGGTTATGGGCCCAGCACGCTTCCACTGGGCCACTCTGCTTTCTGATAGCACACATATCCTGTTCGCAATATACATGTAGAATACATGCTATGTTTGAAATGATTAAAGAGATGTTCGAGACCTTTGGCAAAATGTTAGCAGAGCAAGGTTTCGATCCTCGGACCTCTGGGTTATGGGCCAAGCACGCTTCCACTGCGCCACTCTGCTTTCTGATAGCATATATATCCTGTTCACAATCTAGAATACATGCTATGCTAGAAATGATTGAAGGGATGTTCGAGAACTTTAGCAAAATATTAGCAGAGCAAGGTTTCGATCCTCGGACCTCTGCATTATAGGCCAAGCAGGCTTCCACTGCACAACTCTGCTTTCTGATAGCACACATATCCTGTTCCGGTCAAGAATACATGCTATGCTAGAAATGATTGAAGGGATGTTCGAGAACTTTGGCAAAATATTAGCAGAGCAAGGTTTCGATCCTCGGACCTCTGGGTTATGGGCCCAGCACGCTTCCACTGCGCCACTCTGCTTTCTGATAGCACAAATATCTTGTTCGCAATATACATGTAGAATACATGCTATGTTTGAAATGATTAAAGAGATGTTCGAGACCTTTGGCAAAATATTAGCAGAGCAAGGTTTCGATCCTCGGACCTCTGGGTTATGGGCCCAGCACGCTTCCACTGCGCCACTCTGCTTTCTGATAGCACACATATCCTGTTCGCAATATAAATGTAGAATACATGCTATGTTTGAAATGATTAAAGAGATGTTCGAGACCTTTGGCAAAAATGTTAGCAGAGCAAGGTTTCGATCCTCGGTTCTCTGGGTTATGGGCCCAGCACGTTTCAACTGCGCCACTCTGCTTTCTGATAGCACACATATACTGTT